TGTTGAACATTTGCTACCCAACTGAACTTCAACTGCTGAGTTTATAAATCCAACTTAAAGGTGAATTAATTTTTGATGATGTCTTATTTAAATCTTAATGTGTTATAATGGCATAGATTGCAAACCCTCCGATCTTATATGCTTTGTTAGTGGCGTTGTTCAATACGTTTTATAATACTATAGGTTAATCGAGGGGTAAACCGCTGGTGTATTTTGGTTTACAAGATGTTGGTATTTTTGGCATTTTCGTGGTATTCTTGGTATTAGTACGAAATTATTTGGCATTATTTTGGCATTAGTGTACAGAAATTCATCAGCGGTTTACCCCTCGAGGTTAATTCAGCATATATGTTTTATATTATCAAATTTAATTTAGCATTTAACTGTAAGCATTTGAAAAGTGTACAATAGTTTATACTTTTCAAATATTCCGTTTTTAAAAATAAATTTTCATTATATTTTTTGCAGTTTTGATTTCGTAATATTTTTAAAAATACATAAAATTTTATAATCACATTTAAACTGCCCGCTTTTTTTGTGGTAGGTAATGCCTATTTTACCGATTTAGATACCTATTTTAGCGATTTTTTAGAATTTTTTTAGAATTTAGAATGAGTGGGAGGGGGGTTAATCACTTCGACCTTACAGATCCATTGTGTCCCCCTTTCTTGAATCATAACTCATCATACAGTCCCAGGGCTTTGACAAAAGCCAGTATCCGGGACGGTTTTATAGAGGGTAGTTCTCCATCTCCAATATCAGTCGTACCAAAATTCATGGCACGAATGGTTGTCGTCTCGGCGCACTCAGTGATGAGGTGTACTGGTGTTTCCCCATCTTCCCCACAGAATCTGCATTCGCCGTTTCTTCTTAGTTTCAATCTACTGAGGTGTTCGTTGAGGAGACAGTGTCCTGTTAAAAACCCCGTGACAATCCGAAGATTGTTCTTACTCAGACCCAGGAAGATCTGTGATTTTTCTTCATCATAAGCCCTCAGAAACTTCTTCGAGTGTCTTAGACCATTGGAAAATTTCCATTCCAGGTTGCGGATGGAATCTTCCAAGTTCTTGAGTTCCGCCTTGAGTTGGTTACCACTTGGAAAGCAGAACGGTTCTGGTTCAGTTAGTGGAGTGTTCGCTGCTTTCCTAGCTAGATTATTTGCTTTTTCATTGCCTTCTATCCCTTGGTGAGCAGGCACCCAGTGTAGGAGGACTTTGTTTTCTTTGCCTAATTTATTCAGCTTCTCTATGCATTCTTTGACCAATTTCGAATTGATTGATACTGAGTTGATCGCCTTTAACGCTGCTTGACTATCGCCAAGATGGCTATTTCTTGTTTCCGATAGTTCCTATCTAAGATAAGTTGTACGCATCTCTCGATAGCGTAGATTTCTGCCTGTAGGATACTAGGGTAAGTGCCCATTGGTTCGGAGTAATTAGCTCTCGGCCCAAACACTCCGATCCCTGTTCCCGTATTGGTTTTGGAAGCATCAGTATACCAAGTTATGGTAGGGTCTTTTAACTGCTGGGCAAGCGTTTTGCTCTTCCAATCCTTCTTATTGCTCAATACTACATTGACATGTCTGTCAAACTTGTACGTTCTTGGCATATCGTCCACTGGGAGTTGCAGGAGTGGTATTTCCTTTTTGAGGGTGTTCCAAGCCCCTGATCTGACAATTCTCCCAGTACTAATTCCGTTAGTGACCATTCTAATCATTGTCGCATTGGCATATCTACCAATGACAATGTGCAGTGGTGTTAGATCTAGAATGACCTCCATTGCTGTTGTTGGACAGGTCCTCATGGCTCCTGTGATGCAAACACATGCTAGTCTCTGGACTTTGCATAGGTTTAGCCTTGCCGTCCGTTGCTGTAGTTTTGTGTACCAGGCAACTGCTCCATAAGTAATCATGGGTCTTACTATCATGGTATACATCCAGCGCAAAATGTTAGGGGAGCAGCCCCATCTATTTCCGGCCAGTCTTCTGCATATCATGAGAGCCTTTATGGCTTTGCTGGTAGTGTTCTTAATATGCCTGTTCCACAGGAGTTTACTGTCCAGGGTTATTCTCAGGTATTTAACTTCCTGTGTTGGCAGTATTTCCTTTCCATCTAGTTGGATTCTTTTCAAGTTTTTCAGACTTCGCCTTCTGGTGAATGGCACTATCGCGGTTTTGTCTGAGTTGATACTCAGCCCGACAGTCCTACACCATCTCTCAGTGATACGGAGTCCTCTTTGGATAATATCACACAAGGTGCCTTCATGTTTCCCCCGAGCGATCATGACTATGTCATCTGCATACCCAATGCAGTGTATTCCCGCTAGAGTTAATTCATCTAGTAGTTCATCCACCATCAAGCTCCACAGCAAAGGGGAGGTTACTCCACCTTGCGGAGTTCCTTGCGTTGTTTTAACAGCTACAGTTTTGGTGCCCATCTGAGCCTCTGCTGTTCGTGTTGACAGCATTTCCCAAAACCAGCGAATAATAGTTCTGTTCACCCCTCTTGTTTCTAGAGATCGCCTGACCACCTTATGTGGTATATTGTCAAACGCCCCCGCAATATCCAAGAAGGCACAAATTGCTGTTTCTTTGCTATCCAGACTTGTCTGTATTAGCTCCGTTAATTGGTACAGAGCAGTTTCTGTGGATCTGCCCGTTCTATATGCATGCTGACTATCATGGAGTGGTTTAACCTTTAGATTTTACCGTTTACGTCTGTCATATTTCCATTAGTTCAGTTAGTGCTCAAGGGGGCGCTACAATCGATCCTCGTTAAACGTGTTGCCTATTTCTGACTATGGAAATGACAACTCTTTTATTTTATATTTCTCTATGTTCCCTATATTCTTTTATTAATGATAAATAAGGATATCCCTAGGTGCCCCAGAGCTAGGTGCTCCCAGCTAGGTGCTCTCTTAGCTTAAATATGTAAAAGGTAATGACCCAGAAAGAGACACTATATTATTATCAAACACGTACCAAAAAATTGCCTATTAAATCAATATCTTTGAAGACAACATCCTGCATCTTGTTAAATCTTTCCGAACATATTTTATAGGAAATATTTCGTCTATGTTTGACAAAAGAATATATCTACCTTCAATTTTTGTTTCGCAATATTGAAAGAGTCTTCGTATATACCGGGTGCGTCTTAAAAGTGGCTCACCCCTATAACTTTTTTTATTTTTCCAGATAAAAAAAACGAGATTTGGTATGTTAGTATATGACATGAATTAGGATTGAGTGACGTATTCAATTGTTTTTGGTCACTTCCTGTTTCACCGGAAATACAACTTTCGATTTTTAAATGGCACCCTCGGTATTTTTTTTTTTACTTCATTCGATAGAATATGACATTCTCAATAGAATGACATATCATATGTCAATTTTTGACATTTTTACTTAATAAAAAATCGTATTTTAAATTTCGTTTTTTTAATCTAAAGTGTTATGGCTATGTTAAAAACACTAATTCTTAATTTTAATTTTATTAATGTTTCTTGTCTCTTGTCCTGGCCTGTTAAAAGATATCCAAGTCATATTTTTAATCATATCTCAATTTTTTAAACGATGTACTTAAACAGCCGTTAAACGGTAGCCTACTAAAATGCCGTTAATAGATATTGTGACGTCGTTCATGTCGGCGGAAAGTAATGCCTAACCTTAAGCATTTTGCTTAAGAGAGAGCACCTGTGGGTCAGTGGCTGAGGCTATCGCTTCGTAAGCCAATGGTTCGTGGTTCAAATCTCATGCCGACCAAGACTTTTTTATATTTTTTTTGCTTGTAGCGTGATCTTATTGCATTGGTTTCACTCTTTTTGGTTGGATTGGTTTAGTTATTTGGCGGGTTGGTTAGCGTGGTTATTTGGAGGGTGTTAATTCATTGGTTAGTTGGTTATTTGGTGGGGTTGGTTGATTTTTACTAATTTATATTTATTTTTTATATTTTTTATCAGTGTCGAGGCTAGTTGCGTTGGTTAAGTTGGTTATTTGGAGGGGTGGATAGCGTTGGTTAGTCCTTATAAAATTCCTATATTTCATAAAGCCGTCAAGTGCGTCACATCAACGACGTTATACCTATTAACGGCATTTTAGTAAGCTACCGTTTAACGGCAGTTTAAGTACAGCCTTTTTTAAATGGAACAAGGGTGGCTCATTAGCATATTTGGAAAAAACATTTTTTACGAATAATTTGATACCACACACTTGGTATTTTGAGTCAAATTTTCGTTATGAACCGCATGTTATAATTTCAAATAAACCATAAATATGCGAAAATGTCAAAAGTTGACATATGATATGTAATTCTATTCAGAGTGTTATTTTCTATGAAATAAAGTAAAAAATACCGACGGTGCCATTTAAATATCAAAGTCATTTTCGGCGAAACACGAAGTGACCGAAAACAATTGGATACGTCAATCAATCCAAATTTATGTCATATACTAACATACAAAATCTGTGTTGTTTTAACTGAAAAAATAAAAAAGTTATAGAGGTGAGCCACTTTAGAGACGAACCCGGTATATTGCAACTGTTATATTTTTCTACCTAATTGTTTGGAGCTCAAAGTTCCGTTTGCGAATTATGTATCACAAATTGATGTTCTATTTACAAATACGGACCTAAAAGGGTTTTATTCCAAATATATAAGGGCGGCCTTTTCGAGGTTACCCATAGCAACTACATGAAGCCCACCCACTGAAATGTGAGGCAATAGGGATTTTCTTGTTTATTTATCAGAGAGTTGGCAAAATAATACGGCTTTTAGTCTTTGTTTACATCGATAATATTTTTCGGAAAATATAATAAAAATGTTCGTTCAAAAATATCACCAATAGGATAGATTATGAATAATATCTGTCAAGAATAACAAACAGCTATATTTATTTAGTTAACAGTTTAGTTTGTTTAGTGATAATTAGGACATGCCAGATGTGCATTTATTTATTTCTTATTTTTATGAAATATAACCATGACTTTATTTTTTAATTTCTAGAAAAATCATGAAAGACTGCTGAAACTTTTTGAAGGTGTCTATCGATGGTTACCATTGGGAACAATTATCAATAACAAAGTCTTAGTTGTGCACGGGGGTATATCAGATACAACCGACTTGGAGATGATTAGAAGTTTAGAACGGGAGAAGGTAAGGAACTGTTTATAACAAAATAAATTCGTTAATATCTTTACTATTTACTATTTACTATTTACTATTTACTATTTACTATTTACTATTTACTATTTACTATTTACTATTTACTATTTACTATTTACTATTTACTATTTACTATTTACTATTTACTATTTACTATCTACTATCTACTATCTACTATCTACTATCTACTATCTACTATCTACTATCTACTATCTACTATCTACTATCTACTATCTACTATCTACTATCTACTATCTACTATCTACTATCTACTATCTACTATCTACTATCTACTATCTACTATCTACTATCTACTATCTACTATCTACTATCTACTATCTACTATCTACTATCTACTATCTACTATCTACTATTTACTATTTACTATTTACTATTTACTATTTACTATTTACTATTTACTATTTACTATTTACTATCTACTATCTACTATCTACTATCTACTATCTACTATCTACTATCTACTATCTACTATCTACTATCTACTATCTACTATTTACTATTTACTATTTACTATTTATTATTTACTATTTACTATTTATTTTTTACTATTTACCATTTACCAGTTACCAGTTACCAGTTACCATTTACCATTTACTATTTACTATTTGCTATTTGCTATGTACTATTTACTATTTACTATTTAATATTTACTATGTACCATTTACTATTTACTGTTTACTATTTACTATTTACTATTTACTATTTACTATTTACTATTTACTATTTACTATTTACTATTTACTATTTACTATTTACTATTTACTATTTACTATTTACTATTTACTATTTACTATTTACTATTTACTATTTACTATTTACTATTTACTATTTACTATTTACTATTTACTATTTACTATTTACTATTTACTATTTACTATTTACTATTTACTATTTACTATTTACTATTTACTATTTACTATTTACTATTTACTATTTACTATTTACTATTCACTATTCACTATTCACTATTCACTATTCACTATTCACTATTCACTATTCACTATTCACTATTCACTATTCACTATTCACTATTCACTATTCACTATTCACTATTCACTATTTACTATTTAGAGGGTGACCCAGGCTACAAAAATATCTGAAAAATATACCGTGTGTTGCATCACAGATTTGGACATAGGAAATCCCATGTAATTTTTAAAAATGTGTTTAAGTTTTTTTTTTAAGTTTTCCCCATTTTATTGAAGTGAAACTTTTTTACGCGCGGTGGGAGTAAAAATTCAAGGTCGTGACACACTACGGTCTTGGCACGACGCGACATGAACTTGACTTTGCCTTGACGCACGAGCTAGCGAGAAAAGAAGAGTGGTAAGGATCGCGCAAACACAAAAAAACATTTGATTTAAAGCTAAGAAAAGCATTATAATAAACTTGATGCTGTACCTGGGTACCAGTATTCTCTGGTTATGTGCTAGGAAGTAAATTTTCATGTATATTTTCATCGATAAGTTTGTAGCTTCTGAATAACGGTCCAGGTATAAAGTATTTAGCTTATTTGCTAGCTCAGAATTAGAATTATTAGAGTTAGGCAAATCGCATTTTCATTGAAGGACATCGTCATATTTATCTCAAACCAATAATCAACGAAAATATTCGTATAATTTAACAAAATTACTGTAAACCACTATAAATACAAATTAGAAAAAAATTGAACATAACCAGTGTTCAAATATTTTCTCTTCTTAAAATTCTTAGGCATTTGCATAAAAGTGCGTATTTTGGGTGGCGTTCCACAAAATTTGCAGGCTATTTGCAGGAATTTCCTATGTCCAGGTCGGCGAAGCAACAGACTGTATAAACTATGATATTGAGCTTTATATAAAAATATTATTAAATTAAAATATTTTCTTATCTCTGAATTTTAAGGGCTATAAACACAAGTAATGATTAATAGTGTTGGGGTGACTGTAATTATTAATTTTCATATGACTAAAATGTGCGCCCATATTCTAACGACACAAAATGTAAAAACGGTAACTACACTATTCCGACACAATTTTCATTGTTATAAAAGTTCTGAGCGATAATCTACGCTCATAAAAACAGCAATTTATGGTATTATGTCGCATAAAATGCTCACACACTGTGGCTTTAATTTGCGGAAACGGAGCTATAAAGCGCGTTATAAAGGGAACCGTTATTATTCTGAAAATGTATCGAATAAAAGGACTTTAAACAAAATGTAAAAACGTGACAGTGTTACTGTTAGAGTAGATTAGTTATTTGAATGTACTGTTTTAGGTAGATCATAGACCTTCCGACTTTTCCACGTCCTAGAAAAATTAAACATAGTGTAATAGCACAGCCTATTCAGGCCCAGTCAGCCGAGTTCGTTTTGTACAGGGTGTCCCATTGAAATTATTAGGTATCGCCTTTATTAGTGAAAATAGAAGGATGCCGCTTGGCAGATCTGGCACCCTTCGGATCAAAGGCTGAAAACCATGGGTGGATATTTCTGTGTGAAATTGATTTCTCAAACATGCGACTCAATGCATCCCGAACAACATGATCCGCCCCTTTACGATAAACTAAATTGAAGGAGTTTTTTCGCAACTTAAGTGACTAACGAGCCAATCTCCCTAAAGAGGTTTTCAAATAGCTAAGCTAAAGTAGAGAATAATGGTCAGTAAGAACTGTAATGAAAACTGAAATTTCTCTTCATTCGCGTTCAGTAACAGAGTAGTTACGTTCCGCTCAAGATAACGAACGACTAGCATAAGCTATGAGTTTTTCTTCTCCGTCCAAGATTTGTGTAAGGACACCTCCAAGTGCTGTATCCAATTTATTTCAAACCACTAATCAACGAGAATATAATTTAACAAAATTACTGTAAATCATTATAAATAATGAACAAAACATGTAAAAACAAACCTTTACAAAATCAGATCACACAAATTGTTGGTTAGGTTCAAAACTTATTCTCTTTTTTTAATTAATTTAAAGGCCTAAGCTACTAGGACTCTGGCAATTCTCTTCTTAAATAAGTTTTAAGAGGCGTTAACATTATTAGGCATTTGCATAAAAGTGTGTATTTTGGGTGGTATTCCACAAAATTTGCAGGCAAATTGAAACAGAAAATGTACAGAAATAAATTGAAAATAATATTTATATTAAAACAGCATTATACAGGGTGGTCCGAATTGTATTCCGGAAACTTCGGCGGCATATCCTGCAGATAAAAATAAGTAAAAAAGTTCGTATAAATGTATGTCCTAAAATGCTTAGTTTCTAAGATACAGGGTGTAGAAGTTTCATTTTTATTTCGATTTTTTCCTAATAATTTATGAAGTAACGTCGATATTTCGACGAAAATTAGTGCGTAGGAGTTTTTTGACATGAGGAATTTAATTTTTATGTCAAAATGACTCCTATTCGTAGGGGGCGCCACCTACATGTATTTTAACTGTTTTGAAGAGTAATAACTTTTCGTCCGTACCTGTATAAAACTACTGAGTAAAAACCTATACAATTACGACTTTTTTACGTAAAAATGGTCTCTTGGTAAAAATCGCTACGAGTAATGGTTCTCGAGATATTTGGTTGTGACATAAATTACACATGTTGACTAAATAGTTATTAGACTGTAATCATAAATTTGAAATGTTTTTGTGCCAAAAGTTCAACAAAAACTGTTTTATCATATCATTTTTTCGCAGAAAAATTTATGATTAATTTAAAAAAATAAAAATTTCACAAAATTAATTGCTTCAGTCAAATAACTATCTACCCAACGTGCAACGTGTTTATTTTTTTCAATAATGACATGTATTGACTATTTCCATTCTAAATATCTTGAGAACGGTTGCTCGTAGCGATTTTTACCAAGAGACATTTTTAACGTAGAAAATCACGAAAATGTATATTTTTTCACTCAGCTGTTTCATACAAGTACGGACGAAAAGTTATTACACTTCAAAACAGTTAAAACACATGTAGGTAACGCCCTCTACAAGAAGGAGTCATATTGACATCAAAATCAAATTTCTCATGTCAAAAAACTCCTAATCACCAATTTTTATCCAAATATGGACGTTACTTCAGAAATTATTTGGAACAAATTGAAATAAAAATAAAACTTCTACACCCTGTATCTCTGAAACTAAGCATTTGGGGACATACATTTATACGAACTTTTTTACTAATTTTTATCTGTAGAATATGCTGCTAAAGTTTCCGGAATACAATTCGGACCACCCTGTATATCACTTTTTCAAAATGTCCTTCAAATCTTCCAATTTAATAGCTGTTAGTAAGAAGTTTCACTTCAAATATGCGCAGATAGTGCACACACTGTTTTTTTTTCGTAAAAACAGCCTACTCCACTGTATTCTACGTAAAAAGATATACGAAAAAAAATACAACAGTGTTCACCTTCTCGATACACAAGAATGGTAAATTAATAGGATTGCTCATCCTCATAAGACATACGTTCGCCTCTTCCCGCGCTTCAGTTGACAGTTGTGACGTCATTGTAGTCCTTGTCATGATAGTGTGTATTTTTGGTTGCCTATGCTAAACTTATAAAAATAACAGCTGCGAAATTTTGACTTAATTATTTTGTCAATTTTAAATGTGAAAAAGGTGCCTTTAAAGTTTTTAGAGCTATAGAGTGTATAAATACGTTCATTTTGTGTTGTGGATTGTGACAAAGTGCTTACGATGTTTATTAATTGTGCCTGCGATATTGTTTATTAATTATTTTAAAGCAAAATATGGAAGTACTCTAAAAATAATGCTTGCAAAAGGTGATGTTGGGAACTGTTGTTCTTAAAAATGCATTATCCGAGTATTTAATACGATTTATACAGTTAATTTTCTATACTGCATACATATAAGGTGTTTAAATAAATAAACTAAATAATGAACGTTTTGCATTCGGCAACTAATAATGCACGTGTGTGTATTATTGGTTGCCGGATAAGGACTAATAACCATGACAAGGACTACAATGACGTCACAAAGCGAGTAGTTTTCGCATGCACCTGGCGGACACTTTTAGCTGAATGAGCAGTCCTATTTGGTTAACTGTTCTTGCTCGATACCTTTCAATAACAGAGATATAGGGAATGTTTTAAATTGCAAAATTTTCAATAAGACCCTGTAACTCAGAAACTAAGAGGGATATGAAAATTTTATTTACGGCATCTTCCGTTTGACAAAAAAGTAAGAAAGGTTGTGCAAACCGCATCTCAATACACCAAAACACTTTTTTAAACACTGGTCGCGTGTTTTGCTATGTTAGTTTTGGTGTATTGTGGTGAATTAGTATTTTATTTTGCTGTTACTAAGTAGATAAAATTTGAATCTCCTAGTCAGATATTGTTATTAAATATTTCAAAATAAGTCAGTTGGTGTACCAAAACAATAAATATACAGGCTGCTCCGAATTATATCCCAGAAACTTCGGCAGCATATTCTGCAGAAAAAGTATATGTCCTAAAATTCTTCGTTTCAGAGATACAGGGTGTAAAAGTATAATTTTTATTTTTTTTTCAAATAATTTTGAACTATAGTCTATGTTTGGGTAAAAAAATGGTGTTAGGGTGCTTTTTGACATGAGTAATTTGATTTACATATATCAATATGACACCTACTTGTAGAGGGTGCCACCTGCATGTGTTCTAACTGTTTTGAAGAGTAATAACTTTTCTCGACCGTACCTGTATAAAACTACCTAGTGAAAAAATATACATGTCCGTCATTTTTACGTAAAAAAATATATCTGAGTAAAAATCGCTGCGAGTAACCGTTCTCAAGATATTGAGAATAGTCAATACATGTCATTATTGACAAAAAATAAACATGTTGAGTAGATAGTTCTTTGGCTGAAATGATATATTTGGGGACTTTTTTTAGTTAATCATACATTTTTCTTCGAAAAAATTATGATAAAACAGTTTCTGTTCAACTTTTGGCACAAAAACATTTCAAATTGATTATTTCGGTCTAATAACTATTGAGTCAACATATTTAATTTATGTCAATAATGGCATGTATTGATAATTTCGATTCCAAATATTTCGAGGACCATTACCGTTAGCGATTTTTATCAAAATATCTTTTTACGTTAAAAACGTAAATGCATATTTTGTTACTAGATATTATACAGGTACGGACGAAAAGTTATTACTCTTCAAACCAGTTAAAAAATATGCATGTGGCGCTCTCTACAAGCATTTTAGGGACTTTTTTCTGAACTTCTTTTTGAGAACTTCTTATTTTTGTCTGTAGAATATGCTGCCGAATTTTCCGGAAAGGAATTATTCGGACCACCCTATATACCGTCTCAAAAGTGGCTCATCCCTATAACTTTTTATTTTTTCAGATTAAAAATTGAGATTTGGTATATTAGTGTATGACATAAATTAGGATTGATTGACGTATTTAATTGTTTTCGGTCACTTCCTGTTTCACCGGAAATTACTACAACTTTTGATTTTTAAATGGCACCCTCGGTATTTTTTTACTTTATTTGATAGAAATTGACATTCTGAATAGAATGACATATATTATGTTAACTTTTTACATTTTCATCTTCGTTCCATTTGAAAAAATTGAGTTATTATTAAAAATACGATTTGGGCATCTTTTAACCGGCCAGGACAAAACACGAAAAACATTAGACGATCAAATCTATTCTCCAAGGCTCCTTGATTAAAAATTAGTGGTTTTAACACAGCCATGGCAATCTAGATTGAAATTTAAAATTCAATTTTGTTTTAAGCGAAAATGTTAAAAGTTGACAAGTGATATATCACTCTATTCAGAATGTCATTTTATATCGGATAAAGTAACAAAATACCGAGGGTGCTATTTAAGAATCAAAAGTGTAGTCATTTCCGGTGAAACAGGAAGTGACCGAAAACAATTGAATACTCCAATCAATCCTAATTTATGTCATATCTAACATACCAAATCTCGATTTTTGATCTAAAAAAATAAAAAAATTATAGGAGTGAGCCACTTTTAAAATGCACTCGGTATAGAGTATTTCATTATTATACGATATTTCTTTAAACCCCTATAATATGGCAACAAGCTAAACTCACACACAAAGTCAAACTTTGATAAGCCACGAGTTCGATATAATGCTATATTGAAACAGCGCTGATTAAAGAGCCTAGGGATGTCAATTGATTTAATATCGACTGACACGTTAATCGCATTAACTAGGTAAGTAACTAAGTCAGTTAGTAAGGTACCTTGCAAAACTTGGAATTATGTTCAACGAAATAAATTATCAGATATATCATCGATAATATTGGTGGGAATGGTAGATTACCATTCCTGCATTTCCATAGACGTATTATTCCAGTATATTACTGAAATAATTAAATGTCTGTCACTAACTCGATATATTTTTAAATTTGCAGTATGTTTCCTTACTTCGGCCTCCTCTGGGCGACAGTTCAGCACCAGGTGCAGAAGCTATTGATAAGCTGGAGTGGAAGCAAGTAAGTTAACCGATTTACATTTTGATTAGATTTTGTCACTATAAAAAGTTATAATACAGTGACAGTAATACATGTTTTACCTACTAATAAAAAATAAATATAATCTTATATGACTAAACGTTCTCCAACCTAGTATGAGTACCTACATCTCAATTGCAAAATCTTTAACGAGTGGTAGAGGAGTCAAAACCTTTCAATCTTTGCAAATGTTTATTTCAGAAAATAATTTTGTTTAAAAATGGACCAGCATATTCCGGGAATCAGCTACTTCCCATCATCAGGCCCAAAAAGCTAAAATAATCGAAATAACAGTCAAAATAGATAAATATATAAATCAATATCTCTCTCAAAATGTTTATCTATTTTGATTGTGATTTCGATTATTTTAGCTTTTTGGGCGTGATAATGGGAAGCAACTGATTCCCGAAGCATGTTGCCCCATTTTTAAACAAAATTATTTTTTGAAATAAACATTTGAAAAGATTGCGAGATTGTGAGTCCCCTACCCCTCGTTAGAGGTTTTGCAATTAATCTTATATGGTTTACCAGTTTAAGTGTGTTGGTATTATGTTATGCTATTGTACCTCATTACCATAAAGGACGGTCCACACTTGCTATATAACACTGCTATATAGCAAAGTTATATAACATGTTACATATTTTTTAGTTATATTTAGCAAATTTCGATGCTATATAACTTGCTAGATGTTATCCATTTGTAGTCGGTAAAGATCAAAAGATGTGGTGCAACATTGCTATTGTAACATGAAACAACGCGTCCACACTTGCTAAATTTCTAGTTTAGCCGCTCATATTTTCAGGGACATGCGCGACAGAATCTTAGTGTGGTGAGCTGATATTGGTTTGTTTATTTACTGGTCAATAATACCATATGATCGAAAAAAAAACTGCCTCCCGTCGGCCTCCCGTCCAGTTGGCTTGGACATGACGATCGATGACATTCCCCATATAATTTTCCATATAAAATGGCAGCGATTTTCATTTCATAGTATGTATTAGGAAACAGAAAAAGTTGAGAAATAATGCGTAATCTAATAGGCCAGTTCCAGCGGGAACAAAAGAAATGCAAATCAGGAACTGCATGGTTTAGATGAAATGGATAATTCAAAATGGTTTGCTTTTGCTTTTACAGTACGTCTGTCCGTTCTGTAGCTACGGGGTATCCGTGAGAGGGGAAACGATATTCTCTCGATGTTTTTCGTAAAAAATAGACGACGCGTCCCATCAATAAAAATTAGACAAATTTGCAAGTAGCCAATAAAATGAGTGGGCGGAGCGATTTGCCGTGACGCACTCGTCAAATTGACGTATAGAATATATTGCTGTTTATTTAAATGTTTTTTGTCTGCATTCCTTTCATAGACACAGATCCAGGAGACGAGACGTACTGTAAATTATTAATATTTTTAAAAGACAGACGACACCACGAGAAACAGCCGAGGCAAGTATTGAAAAGATATGCTAACTGAGTTCAACTGTATCTAGATCTTGCTGGTAGGCTATGGCGGACTCAAAATCGACTTTCTTTCCTTTAGTTCAAAAATAATTACGCACGCCGCTGCTGCGAGCTGAACCTCTTTCTCGCCAAAACGATTATTGACTACGAAAACTATAATGTGGACGGCTCCCGGTTTTTTAACATGTTACATGTAGCTTGTTAAATAGCAATGTTATATAACATGTTACTAAATGTGGACCCTCCTTAATGAATAAATTTAACAAACTACATGTGTCAATACAGGGTGGTATATTGAATATTAGTGGTGCTAGAGAGTCGGTTAAATGGGGAAAGAATTGCAGTTTTTTGACGATAACCATATGCGCCTTTTGGATTTTTGAAAAGTTTATGGATAACTAGATATTTCGAAAAAGAAATTCGGCTATTTTAAAAGTGCTCTCAATTCCATTATAATCTATTTTAGATAAAAAGTTTTCAAATACTTAAAAGTTGCAGAGAATTACATCCTTAACGAGACTGCATTCTCTGTTTTTTTTTTCTAAAGTCTGTCATTTTTGATATATGACACAAACATATGTTTTTTCTTTTAAATGGAGAATATAGTTGGCCGTGATTTCATAAAAAAACGTAATTTTTAAGCTCTCCAGCGAAATAAGCTATAATATGTTTTGATATGTCTTGAAAACTGTTCTCGAACAAGTGTAAGTAACGTTCACCGGTCAACGTATTCTCGAAAATGTATGGTTTATGGTTGTTTTAAAACTGTTTTTAAGTCTGGAAGTACTATAAGAAGTGTCCTAACAAAGACAAAACCTTGGTAAACCAGGTACCTTGCGAGTGCGGTGAGTCGTATATTGGAGAGACAAAATGTCTTCTATATGTACGACTTGACGAACATAAAAAACATACTCAAATATGTGAAACAATAAAGTCAGGTATTGCAGATCATGTGTGGTCCAAGCACCACAACATGAAATGGTCGTAAGCCCGGGGTGTCCACAAAGTCACAACCCCATTGGAAAAAGCGCAAATTTAAAGAGGCCGTATATATGCATTTCTAACAATAATAAAATCTTTAGCAATCTAAGTATGGAAATTTTAACAATATGGCAACCACTCATATAATGCTCCAATGCAGGTATTCTTATAGTGGAGTGCTTTGAGCCCTTATGGGATACAAACTTCGGAATTCATTTACTGTGAACGAATTTTTATAAAACTTTTTGCATTGTATTGTTAATAAGATATATTACAAAGTTTACCCATTTAAATTCGTTGCTTTCACTTTAGTATTTAAAAAAAACACACATATACAAATGCATACATACAAAATGACTCCGTATTCCGCAAAAGCTCTGTATCAGGATTCCTATTTGAGATTTTTACTCCAAACCTTTTACAAAATATGTGTTTAATGGTAGTTCACATTTCAAAAATATTTTTATAGGTACAGGGTGAGTCAAATATATACCTATATTTGTTTAGCTCAGTGAATTTGCGATAAAACTCCGGTTCCAAAAATACCTTAATATCATAGAGTATACTAAGAGGGTTTTGAATTATGACTACAACCATGAGGACGTCAATCTAGACGTCCAGGAACCTTCGTATGAGAACTTCCAATCGAGACGATCGACTTATTGTAAGTTTATCGCTAAGGAACCGCCGTTTGTCAGCTTTTCAAATTGATAATGAATTGCACTTAAGAAACGTACATATTAACTAACGGACTATAAGAAGAAGATTAAATGAAGCAAATTTTATGCTTCGGGGCCAGAACTTACTAGATGTGTCTTAATGTAAAAATTACGAAAAAATGTTACTGTTTTCTTCAAAAGCGAATATTTCCAACAAAAATAAAGCTAATGAGATGAACCAAAAAACAAACCATCGAGAAAGGATGTATCCAGATGATAAAATAATTTCTTGCTGTTTTACCATATTCCACAGGGTGTTTCAAACTTTCACCAAAATATCAACATTTTGTTTTCCCTCGTATAATTAACAGATGGGGAGTTTCATTTTTAATTTAGAAAAAAATACTAAAAAGTCAAATAACTTCGCTACACACTGCTTAAAAAATCATCAAAATCGGCCCACTAGAACAAAATATATTAACCTTTAAAATACATCAAAGTTTTAAGGTGTCCATTTTTCGTGCCGGTGAATTTTAGTCATATACTTTTCTAATGAAACAAACCTTTATTTTTTTACTAGAATCCAAAAATAAATTAATATACAGGGTGCTACAAATTCGAGGTACGAGCATTGGTATGTCGGAAACCGTATAGATACAAAGATGGTTAAATTGGGGCAAAGTTGCGCTTTGGGATGTTCACCAAGATGCCATCAAAATAGTTTTAAAAATTTCAAGAATTGCTGAGTTTTTTGGAAAAAACGGATTTTTTTGAAAATCAATTTTATTTTTTGTTGTCGTTACCTTTTAGAAAATCAAAAAACTAATTGCACATTGTCATACCCACTTTATTAGCGCTATCGGAGAGTATTTTTAGATTTTTAAATTAGCTGATAATTTGTGAGATACAGAGACCAACTTAATTTTTTTAAATACGGACCTGCATTTTTTATTTCAGCTTTTGAAAGAATTCGTTCTCCTGAGTACAGTGGTATGCCACACTTATTTTTTTTTGTTTTGGACATTTGAACACAATTTATTTAATCTAATTTCAAGTTCGGCTCTGTTATATTTTTAATATTAAATCTATTCAACGTTACAATATTGATGTGAAGTGTTCAAACTTAACAATGACGTGGGGTAAAACATTGAATACGGAAAATCAAATGCAATAAAATAATTAAAAATAATATAAAATAAAATAAATGTAATATAAACAATCAAATAATATCCCTGGAAGATGGATTGGAAATGGCAGAGTAGTATAATTATTGCTAGCGAGGTTGCTGGACTTCTTGCCAAGGAGGGGGGGCATTACTTGACGTGATTTGTAAAAGATAACTCAATATTTTTCAACATTTACAATAAAAAGTACAAAATGCATTCGGAAGTATAAAAAGAAGATATGTTCAAAGAGCGTATAAATAAAATTGAACGAATAATAAATTTATGCAAAAGGAGGGTGGTAACCCTTTCGAACATGTAGAGCATTAAAAACTAGTTTGTAGAAGTTGATTTATTTATAATAACTACGATTAATATTATGCTTAGATTTCAAATTCCACAATAAAAAAGTTAAAAATAATATATTTAAATTGCTGACCTGGATATTATTTTATTTGAATCTTTCAACTGGCTCGATTTCCTTATTCAATATTAATTAGCGCTGATCAATATTGTTCCAATGAATATCATCAGATTAAATAATTCAAAAAACAGAGTCGGACTTGAAATTATTTTAAATAATAATTAAATAGTTTTGTTGCTGTTAAGGTACCCAAAACAAAAAAAAATATAAAGTGTGACATACCATTGTACTCAGGAGACCGATTTCTTTCAAAACCTGAAATAAAAAATGCAGGCCCGTATTTAAAAAAATTAACT